CAGTTTCCTCAATTTTTTTAAGGCCAAGATATTCCATGTTTTTAGCTAACAGCTTGAGTTAGGTGCTATTTTATGCTTGAATGATTCATAGATTCATAAGCCATAAGTGGCTTCACTAATAATTAATTCCGGCTTTTTGACAACCTTCAGAAAGCCTGAAGAATTAATGGTTAAGACCACTTTGAAAAATTATAAAAGAGTCAGGATCCTTTGGAAGCCATACATAAAAAATAAGGGTGCCTCTAGACTTTTGCACAGTACTGTATATTGAATAAAACAATGCAATTCAAGCAAAGTTCCTTACCTGTAAGAGCGTGAAGCGATTTTTTGGCACAATGAAATGATGATTTTGCTTCTTTGTGCAAATGCTGCAACTGGAGAGAACATATCAGTTCATATGGATTAAAGTGTATGTGCAGCATTGTTTGAAATGCCTTCAACATGGCATGGATAATATATTTGAAAGTTTAGGCTATGTTCCAGAATTACTACCTAGTTTCTATCATTGAATTAATTGTTCATACTTGCAATGAAAAACATGGAGGTCTGGGGAATTCCAGACTTCAAATCGCACAGCCCCACAGTGGCAGCCACCTGTATGTTTCACCAGGTCCATGCTGTAATTGAATCAGTATAAATACATTTACAGTGAGATTTGGTAAGGATTCACCTTTTTAAGCCACGTGAAGGAAAATGCTAGAATGTCTCTATCCAAGTCTTACGTAAAGTTCAGGTTGAAAGGGTGTCACATGTTAGTTGTGAAAATTGCTGACGTGGAGCTCCCAACCAAAAGTTCCAGTCATCCTGCCATGGAAAACAATGAACCTGATTAAGTGCGGCTCTGATAAGAACCACATTTGAATTGATAAAGAACCTTTTACCTACAGAAGCTAAGCTTTTGATTCAAACACAGCAACTCATGTGCTCATTTTATATTTAAAATAAAAGTCAGATTTCCTGTTTTTCCAAGGTGTGAACATATTGATTCCATGTTAACCAGACCTACTTTCTGCTTGCAATCTTTTCCTGGAACACTTTGAGATAGTCCACATAACAAAGGGCAGGGCGAGGTACAGCAGGCTTGCACAAACACATTCCTCAGAGGCAGAACTAGATCGGCCAGATGCCCTGCTCTGTGTTGGAAAGCAAAGGCGTGGTGCATCATGAGTTGGGTTTCATATGACACAGTGCCAGAGGGGTGGGCTAACAGAAAGCTGTGACCCAAATACATATTTTATTTGAATCAGGGCTCTCAGAGCTGCATTATAGCCAAACTCCCAAAAATAGAAACCCACAAGGCCCCATGAGCCCAGGCTGATTTAGTTTGTAGTGCTACCTTAAATAGTGGTGGGTGCTAAAAGTGGGAACTGATCAGTAATTACAGTCCTGGAAATAAACTTTGGAAACCAGGAAATACAAAAAATTAGATGCTCTAAACAGATATATCACTTAATGACCTGCAGTCATTCCCTACAATGTTCAATCTGACTTTACCTTGTTGGAATTTTCTAGTCTCAACTGGGTGTTGACAACATGTCGAAACTAGATGAACTCGTGTTTTCTTGATGTTGCTCATGGAAATAAAATGAAGAGGTGTCATATTACCTGACTCAGGTAATATGACTCATACAGGTTTATCTCTGCAGTGGAGACTTGACAATGACCTGTCTGTGCATGTGCATCATGAGACTAAAGAGAAACATACTACTCATGCTTTTACTTTACAGTAACTTTTATGTGCACATTTTCACTGATAACAACTAGATTCAAATAAACAAAGCTAGCATTTGAATAAGCTACTTAATTTTAAGTTACACAGTAACAGATCCCTATAAGTTGGCAACACAGAAAACAGCACATCAGGTCTGCTAAAACCTTGCTTATCATCAACGTTAGGTGTGCATATACTGTTCATCTAGGCATACATGGTGTGCCCATAATCAGTATTTTGTACTGATGTCCTGACTATTTATCATTAACGCATTCTTTTTTTTTTTTATTTAGATGCGCAGTGTAATAAGGATGGCTTGCTAAAAAAAATAAATGAGGTCGGCCATAGAGGCGAACTTCCGCCTTAAAATATCCTGCTGTCGCGTCAGCTGCTATTACATTTACTAAGCGCGTTGCCATCTGTTAAAGGTTGAAATATCTGATAGAGATGAACAGAATTCCCGAGTGTACATGTCAGTCTTTGGTGTGTTAGTCATACGAATAGTCATTCTGACATGGCGAACTCTTATTTTTCAATCTATATCCATGACGCGACGCTTGAATGTGACACGTAGCCTATACTTCTATAGCCTGAAATATATATAATGGTTTGTCGATTTATGTCACGTTTAAGCTTCTTGTTTTAACCTTATTGTCATAACCAGTCATTGGACATAACCATAACTTTATCATGAAACGTTACTTACTGTAACACAGCAACCAATCGCTGATCAAACAAACAACTGTGTCAACCAATCAGAAGCTCGGGGAAGATTCCCGTTGCTGTGCTGGTTCGAGCAAATTCCGGAGCCAGAGCCGTAGTGCGTAGATGATATCATTCCGCGGGGGATGATTTACGAGCGCATTCTTGCAAACGTAATAGCTTTGACTTTGGAATAATTACGTTTATGAGTAAATTAATTTAAAAAATATATTATTGTACAACTAAGTTATAAATATTGGACTTATAAATATTGAAGCGGTGACTTTTGGGAGGGTGGGAACTACTTATTAACGCGGATGGAGATTTCTGGATGACGTATGCACCTCCATACTATATAACACACTGCTAGACATCGCTCCCGCAATTCTACGCGAAACAAAAAAGAAAGACCATTTCGTGTCACAGAGCAGTTTTTTTGCCTCACTTACCAGTCGTAAGTATTTTCCCATTTCTATATCTTTTGATATTCCAGAAACGATTGTTTGTTTTTAATATGTTGCATTAGTATCATTGTATTGAACGATATTTGGGTTGCGCTAACAAGAGCTAACAAAGGTCTCCAAAATACAGTAGTCTTTCCGAATTATATTTTTCTCTTATATAAAGTTAATACGTATTTCGTCGTCGTTTCATAGTCGATTTTCTTTCGTTTTACTACCCTTTTGTTACGCAGCAGCGTTTTGGTAACGTTCGCTTACAGCAGTGACTCAACATTTCCAGTAACCTCCATTACCGGCTGCTGAACAAAAGGAAGGTCACTGAGATCTCAAAATGGCGCTTGGGCTGAAATGGCTCCTGCCGTTCTCATTCTTAGGCACTAAATAGTAATATTATTTAATACTTTTTTTTTAAAGAAGCTTTTTCTTTTTAATCCATATTTGAGCTTAAACTTAAAGTAATGTAATTTCTAATGCATTTATATTTTTTTTGGGGGGGGGGGGGTAAAGAGCTTTTTAATCAATAATTCATCTTTATCTATTTATTCATATTTATCTGGTTTTGTGTGTGTGTGTGT